ACATCCTGGACATAAATTGTTTCAACTTCTACCCTCAAAACGATGCTATAGAGCTCTGCACACCAGAACAATTAGACACAAGGACAGTTTTTTCCCGAATACCATCACTCTGCTTAACAACTAATGCCCAAAACACTGTCAAATTATCTACTAAGACTGTATTACTATTAGTCTTCTCATCCTTCCTAGGACCCATCTCTTTCCACTTATGACTATAACCATGTTGCTTGTATCTTTAAAATTTATATTGTTTTATTGTTTCCTAGTACGATTTGATTGCTTATTAATAACCTATGACTATCACTAAGTGTTGTATCTTATGATTCTTGATGAATGTATTTAATTATTCTTTATGTACATGAGAGCATTTGCACCAAAGACAAATTCCTTGTGTGTCCAACCACACTTGGCCAATAAATAATTCTATTCTATTCCTTATTTTATATTCTATTCTATTCTTCTATTCTATTCTTCTATTCTTTCTTTTCTCTTCTCTCTTCTTCTTTTCTCTTCTTCTCTTCTACTCTTCTTCTCTTCTATTCTTTTCTCTTCTCTCCTCTTCTTCTCTTCTTTTCTCTTCTTCTCTTCTCTTCTATTCCTTATTCTATTCTATTCTGAATGCGATTGTGTGTTTGTCTGATTGAACTTGAGGTTAAGGAACCATTAGTGAGGATAAGAAACATTACGAAAAGTCAGCTCTGAAGATCAGCTTGGTTTACTCGCTGCACAAACAGAATCTTTGCAATTTGCAAATTGTGTTTAGATTCAGTTTAGGGTTTGGTGATAGCATGACTGACAGCTTCTTCCACAGACGTAAACCACATTGCTTATTTATTAAGAAAATTTATATAGCCATCCAATTTACTCCCCAATAGCCTACAGATATATAACGATAGATAGGAATCTAATTAACATCTTCAATGCAGCTTCCGTCAAGAGTCAAACAAATTGATAGCAGGAGAGCCTTACTTTCATAAAAGAGCAAATACAGGAAGCATAGAAAAACAACTTTACTGCGAACAGCTTACAATCTGCAATGAGGTGGCCAAGGTGGCGCAGTGGTTAAATGCAGCACTGCAGCCTATTTCAGCTGGCTGCAGTTCTGCAGTTCGGCTGTTCAAATCTCACCGGATCAGTTTTGACTCAGCCTTCCATCCTTCTGAGGTGAGTAAAATAAGGACCCGGATTGTTGTTGGGGGCAGTA